GTGCCCCCCCCCCCCCCCCCAAGCAGCTTTTAGCGATTGTCGAACCTCGAAGCCTGTTCGTTTTTGAACATTGAAGAAAGGCACACCGGTACTATCGGGCCACCGGTGTCGGGTCACCAGTACTAAACAAAAATTCGACACTTTGGTGAGAGCATGCAGTATTGTGGCATATCATGTCACATAAGGTCAAGCTTGACCGCAGAAGCATCAAGAAGCGGATACTCCAGCTCGACTGTGCCGGCAACGCTGCCTCCTCACGCCGGCCGGCTGCCAGCAGCCGTCGCGGCCCGTGGCGTGCACCAGAGAGGGAGAGAGATCGAGTCCGCGTGGCTCAGGCCGGCCAGAAGGTGTGTGGCGACGGCACCGTGGCAGGAGTGCGGAGAAGAGCTTGCCGAACGCGAGCAGCGGAAGGCCGAAGTGTGCCAGCGCAAGAGCCTCGCGAACGGGTGCAGAAGGAGCTCGCCGTGACACGATGCCGGGCGGTGGTGGTGCTCTGGCGGCTGTGCACAGTGGGAAACGTCAGGCTGCAACAGGGCAGCACGATGGTCGTGCCCCGCTGCAGCCTGGCCTGACATGCACAGGGCGAACAGAGACGGGACTATCGCCTCGCGCTCGTCTGGGCAAACTTTGACCGCCGCCCGGCTCGCCACGAGCACGCAGCGACAAAATGATGACCGTGTCGAAGTTGAGGCTGGTCGAGAGGAAGAGGCTGCCGTGCGAGCCGGCAACTGGCTGGCTCGGCGTGGACAGCCGGCGGCGACTTTTTGCCGAAGAGCGTGCCTGCCGAAGAGCGAGTCTGACTCAAAGTGCACGGAGTGGGCGCCGCCGACCGTCGGGAGGAGTCCGATGGGTGCCAGGACGATCCAGAGAGCGATGAAGGCGCAAATTGCGCCGCCGAAACCGGCGGTAGAGGCCAGGCCGTGCGCGTGGGCCGGTCGGGCCACGTCCCGGGGCGAGCGATCGAGGGCCGCGGGGATCGCCCCGTCGGCCGAGCGGTGCGAACGGCCGGTCGCCCGCTTCGGGTTGGACCCGCCGGGCGGTCCGGCGGCGGATTGCATGGCCGGGCGGGCCTCCGGGAGGCAGGCGGGGCCGTGACAGGGGCAGGGCAGAAATTCCATTCGGGGAGCGTGTAGCGCGACCCGTCTGCTACTTTCAATGATAGGGACTAGAGTTGGGCCCTTGAAGGGCCCCGCCCCCAATGGGGGCGGGGTTGAATCAATGGGCTAGCGCTGGTGTGGCGTTGACATGAGCACGAAGGCTAATGTGGGTAGACGAACAAAAAGTAGGGAATTGCGACTCGCCGCTTTCCTCCCGCTGTGATTCTGTGTGAGCTCTGTGTCTTGATTTGCCAACAATACACCTAAAAACAAAAAGAGGATTGAATTCGTCCAACCCCTGCCTAGACTAGTACAGCTAAAGAGTACGCGGAGACCTCCGAGCTCCGTGTGTGGGGGCCCGTGAACATCTTTAGCTTGTGAGCCAGGAAAAGGGTTTGAATTCGTCCACGTAAGGCTTCGCCTGGGGACTGGTTGGGGTGGCCTCAGGCATCTCCAAGGGAGTCGCAGCGGTGCCCCATAAGCATCTTTTAGCGATTGTCGAACCTCGAAGTGCGTTCGTTTGAGAAGAAAGGCACAACGGTACTATCGGCACGGTACTATCGGGCCGCACCCGGGGCCACCGGTGTCGGGTCACCAGTACTAAACAAAAATTCGACACTTTGAGGGGTGAGAGCATGCATTCTTGTGGCATATCATGTCACATAAGGTCAAGCTTGACCGCAGAAGCATCAAGAAGCGGATACTCCAGCTCGACTGTGCTCTGTGCCAGCAACGCTGCCTCCGCGGCCCGTGGCGTGCACCAGAGAGAGAGAGAGAGGTCGAGTCCGCGTGGCTCAGGCCGGCCAGAAGGTGTGTGGCGACGGCACCGTGGCAGGAGTGCGGAGAAGAGCTCGCCGAACGCGAGCAGCGGAAGGCCGAAGTGTGCCAGCGCAAGAGCCTCGCGAACGGGTGCAGAAGGAGCTCGCCGTGACACGATGCCGGGCGGTGGCGGTGCTCTGGCGGCTGTGCACAGTGGGAAACGTCAGGCTGCAACAGGGCAGCACGATGGTCGTGCCCCGCTGCAGCCTGGCCTGACATGCACAGGGCGAACAGAGACGGGACTATCGCCTGGCGCTCGTCTGGGCAAACTTTGACCGCCGCCCGGCTCGCCACGAGCACGCAGCGACAAAATGATGACCGTGTCGAAGTTGAGGCTGGTCGAGAGGAAGAGGCTGCCGTGCGAGCCGGCAACTGGCTGGCTCGGCGTGGACAGCCGGCGGCGACTTTTCGCCGAAGAGCGTGCCTGCCGAAGAGCGAGTCTGACTCAAAGTGCACGGAGTGGGCGCCGCCGACCGTCGGGAGGAGTCCGATGGGTGCCAGGACGATCCAGAGAGCGATGAAGGCGCAAATTGCGCCGCCGAAAGTGGCGGTAGAGGCCAGGCCGTGCGCGTGGGCCGGTCGGGCCACTTCCGGGGCGAGCGATCGAGGGCCGCGGGGCTCGCCCCGTCGGCCGAGCGGTGCGAACGGCCGGTCGCCCGCTTCGGGTTGGACCCGCCGGGCGGTCCGGCGGCGGATTGCATGGCCGGGCGGGCCTCCGGGAGGCAGCCGGGGCTGCGACAGGGGCAGGGCAGAAAATCCCATTCGGAGAGCGTGTAGCGCGACCCGGTTGCTACTTTCAATGATAGGGATCTTTAGCTTACTGGGAGAAAAGGGAGAGGGGGCTGTGATCTCTAGGGCCCTTAGGGCCCTACGCGCGGCGTGAGAGCTCGGAAGCGAGCTTTGCACGGCGATCGAGGATGGCGCGGTTCACCCCCTTCACCGAAGCGATCAGCGATGGAGATGGCCAGATGCGTTCCGCGTGGTGTGACACAAATGAGAGGCGGGAGTGGGGTGTAGGCTCCCTACAACATGTACATGTACGGTTGCTGGTACTTTTGCAGTACCACAGGCGCAAAAGGAAAGAATTTGAATGAGAAAACCTACAGACCGGAGTGGGATCGAGGGGCTCAGTTAGAGGGGATATGCCGATATCGCGCCCAGCTCGAATCTGTCACGTTCCTGTGGGTACCGAGCCACGCGGGGTGCGCTAGCAACGCCTACGCCGACGCCGCGGCGACTGCATACATGGGGGCCAGCGAGATTGAGGATGCCACCTCCGTCATCCGAGGAGCAGTGAGGACACGCCCGTGCCTATACACGGACCGCCGGAGGACGGCAGGCGGAGAGTGTAGGGGATACGTACTGGACCGGAGGACCTATTACGCCACACGCGGCCACACGAACGAGTGGGTGCGAGGCAGGACGGCTCGGCGAGGGGCTCACGGCGGGATCACACACGGCGGGGGTGCCTGGGCCGCTGTGGAGCGATGTGGTCAGGGGAACGACGAGACACAAATGGGACAAGCGTCAGCGGATCAAGGATCAGCACGGCGAGCGTGAGATACAATTCGCCGACGTGGATGATCACAACGTGGTGACAAAGACCGTCATGGGAGCGCGGGTGCGGCAGCAGGCGGGGGTGCCACACGGAGCGCACCACGAGAGGATCATGCGGGGAGAGTCGGGGAGAGAGACCCCGGGCGCCGCCACGAGGAGCGAACTCAGGGGCTGCCTCGTATGTAAGGCCGCGAGGGACGCGGCGAGGAGGGCGGCACTAAAGCGGGACCCGCTGTGCCCGATCGTGCGGAAAGCCGCGCAGCAATGGACCGAGGAAGATGAGAACCCGCCTAGAGCGACAATGGCGCACTTGCTTAGCGGCGCCTGCCCGGGGAATAGGGAGCAGGCCAGATGGTTCCTCAGAGTAGCGCGAGCGCAGACGGGGACGGCGATCAGCAAAGTAGCGCAGGCGGCACCCGACTCCAAGGATACGCTGAAGACGCTGAGGATAGCGCATGTCGCTGCGCTGAAGGGCTCACGCTATAGGGTGCTGGATGAGGAAGGGTACGATGCACTAGCACCAGCCGTCGGGGGGGTGTTGCCGGCGCTGGTAGATGATCTCCCGGAGAAGAGTCGGAGGGACCTTGGCGCCGGGGTCACGAGGAACTTGCAAGTCGTGGCCGAGGCGGCGACGGGAGCGGTGCAGAGGTGGATCCAGCTCAATGATGAGGCTACGGCGCGCATAATGAAGAGAGAGGAACACATCGAGTGGCTGAGGAAGCTCTTCGCTGGGTGGAAGGAGGCCCGGCCAGCCTTGAGGGAGTCGCGGAGGAGGAGGGATAATGGAGGTAACGTGGGAACAGGCCAACAGCCAGTGGGACGAACGAGGGCCGCGACGGCGGCTCAAGCGGGAGGGAGCGGAGACGGTGGGCAGAGAGCGAAGTGGGTGAGACTGATGATGCTCCTTCGACTTAGGGAGCGGTTCAGATGCTGGGCGGGCTTCAGGCTGGTGCTCACGCGAACAGGAATCGACGCGATGTGCAAAGCATACAAGAAGGGGAGAAGGAAGAGGAGAGGCGCCAGTGATGACGAGGCAGAAGCTAGTGCAGACGAGAGCAGGGCAGACCCGGGGACTGGGGAGCCGGAGCAGACGGCATCGGCCGCCGAGGGAACGTTGGGAAGAGGCACGAGGAGGGCGGCGACTTCGACCGACTATGGAGGACCCGTCGCCAGACGACGCAGGGCAGAAGACGGTGAGGCGGAGCAGACGCGCAGGGCGAGACGAGGGAGGGAGCAGGACTTTGCGGAGATCAGCAGGAGGATGTACGAAGAGATTAGGAGCAGCAGGGACCCGAGGGACCATGTGGAAGACGGCTAGTGCTAGTGCCCCATCGGGAGGACGACCCCGGCTAGTCGCCGACCACACCCACAAAGAACCCTGCACAAAGATCGCAAGGGCGGGGGCCTGTTCCTTTTTACCCATCTCACAGTAGAGAGGTGTCCGTTTTTATTTATTTATTTATTTATTTACAGACCGAAGGTGCTCATCAGCCCTACTTACATGCATCACACATGCCCCAAGCGCAATCACCGCGTTGCCCCGAGCGCGATCACCGCACTCGCCGCCGCCGCGGCGGCTGCCCGGCCGATACTTGGCGCGTAGTCCAACCCGCACCCCTGCCGGGCGGCGGCGGCGCGTGCGGCGCGCAGCGCCCCCACAGCGCGCGCGAGGGAGAGGGCGGCGGCCAGGCCAGCGCTGGCGGCGAGGCCTGCAGCGTGCCCCCGCCGGCGCAAGAGCTGCATGTAGGCGCCGCTCGCGAGGAGGGTGCCGCCGCACGCGCGCACGGCGGCGGTGGCGGCGGGCCCGATCTCGGCCTCGAAGCGGTAGAGCGAGGCCGAGTAGCGCGGGAGGAGGAGCCACTGCAGCCCGTTCCCTCCGTAGATGAGCGCCGCGGCGGTGAAGGCGTCGGCGAAGGGGAGCGCGCCTAAGGAGAGCCCAGAGGAGGCGGAGAAAAGGCCGAAGGCTCAGTTTCTGATCGAGGCGCGCGCCGGCCTGGCGAGGGTGCTCGGGCGGGGCATGGCTGACGAACCTCGGCTCTATCTCGGCTATTCTCGGCAACATCTCTCGGCAACATCTCGGCTACATCTCCACCCGTTTGCGCGAGTCGGCCGAGCACGCAGAGCGATATCACAGAGAGGGTCTCGAGGACCTTGGGTCCCTTGAGGCGCGCGAAGCCGGGCACCGCCGAGCCAAAGGCGGCGGCGCCGCCCAGCAGCGCGACCGGAGGCACCGCGGCAGCACCGCCACGCCAGCCGGCGTAAAGCACTGCAGCCGACATGCCGTGGAGACTGGCTCCGTAGCGCCGAAACGCAGCCTCGTCGGCGTGTGCAGCTCGAGAGGCCAGCCTGGCGCCGTCCGCAGCCCTCGCGGCGCAGAGGCCGATGGCGGCGCCAGTGGCGAGTGCTCCAGAGAGCACTGGCGCCGAGAGGCGCAGGCCGGGTTGGCGGCACGAGCTTGGCGGCGTCAGTGCCGTAGGAGCGAAAGCAGCGAGCGAGCCGATCGCGACGAGCGACGCGAGCATTGCCGTTCCGAATTAAAAATCGCGATCCGATTATCAATGAATCTCGCCAGGCTTATAAAATGAACTCGGGGGCACGGGACGCGGCACGAAGCTTTAGAGAGTACGTGGACCCGACGCCAGTGGCCAGGGAAAAGAATTTTACGAAGAGCTACATACCGTAGGGTGCCGAACTTAAGGTAAGGTAGCTTGAGTTAGGGAGCCCTTTTCCTCTCTGACCCCGAACTCCTGTTCTAATGTGCCTAACTCCTGCTACCCACCTCTCGGGGTCCAGCCCGGACCGGCACATACGGGCCCCGCGGCCCGCACCACTGAGGCATCTCCCTCCTACGCTACGAACACCTACGCTCAAGTACGAGTGCCTACGCTACTAGATTCCCTCCTCCTCCTCCTCCTCCTCCTCCTCCTCCCCCTCCTCCTCCTCCTCCTCCTCACTCGCCGCACCCCCTCGTCAGCTCCACGTCAGCTCCGGCCGTCGGACCAAAAAAGAAATCCCCGGGCCCTAACTGCTGCTACCCCGTGCCTAACTCAGTGCAAAGCACCTAACCTAACTCAAGCTACCTTACCTTAAGTTCGGCACCCTACGGTACACTGAAAACACAAGAGAGGTCATGAACCTCGCCGCCAGGCAGGCGCCGCCAGGCAGGGGTGCGACTACTCAGCGAACGAACGCACAAGTGCACACTGGCACGACAAGGGCGCGGACTGGCGCGGACTGATACTACTTGCTGCCAGCGCTGACGTGAGAGAGTGGCAACTCCGTGCACTGACGGTCGGCCGCCAGAAAACACGCCTCCGTGGCTCGGGTTACACCAATCCTCGCTACCCAACGCGGCCAAAGGATATCCACCTCGAGAACCTCGAGAACCTCGAGAGGTTGGGGTGCGAGCCCTGGGATGCCCTGGGGATGGGTTCAGAGCACCAGGTCGAAGCCGCCGGAAGTGCGCCACATGGCGGCCCCGATCGTCACACACACCCCTCTCGGACCGATCGCTGGCACGAGGGACGAGGCAGGCACCATCGCGTGGCGTGGATTACGCTATGCCGTGGCCAGTCGCTGGGAGGTGCCCCACGAACGTGGCCCTTGGCGGAACGTTGTCAACGCGACCTCGTTTGCGCCATCATGCCCTCAGGCGTCAGGCATCGAGTCATCGGGCGAGCAAAGCGAGGATTGCTTGGCAGTGAACGTTTGGTGGCCCGCTGGTGCCATGCCAAACAGCTCCATCGTATTCATTCACGGTGGGTCGTTCGAGGTGGGCAGCATCGCGCCAATGTACAATGGCAGCTTTTTCTACGACGGCGCTCGGTTGGCTGCGCAGCAGCACGTCGTGGTCGCTACGATGCAGTATCGCCTGGGCGCCCTCGGCTGGCTCGGGCGTGCCGGCGGCAATCTTGGTCTTATGGACCAGACCACAGCGCTGCGCTTCCTTCGGAAGTTGCTGGGAGTCGGCGTGTCGCGCACGCTCCTCTTCGGCCAGTCTGCAGGATCGATGAGCGTCTGCGCGCATCTCACGGCAGCAGGCGCTGGTGCCGAGACCCTGTTTGACGCTGCAGCGATGATGAGCGGTGTCTGCCAGGCCAAGCCGATGAGCGACGCTTACGAGCAAGCCGACGCCTTTGCACAAGCTGCGGGCTGTGCCTCTCGCGGACGTTGGAGTGACAGCTCGCTGCGTTGCCTGCGCGAGCTCAGCGCCGGAGCCGTGATCGACGCGCAACGCAGGACGCGGGCACCTCTTCGCTCGAGCTTTCTGCCGTGGGGCCCGACGGTCGATGGCGGGAACGGCACGCTGCCACTGAACCCCGCGACGGCTGCCAAGCGCGGAGAACTGGCCAAGGTGCCGGTGATCGTCGGCAACACCGCGAATGAGTCGTTCTGGGCCTTTGTATATCCGGGAGGCATCGTCTCCCCCGACAGGCCTCTTGGGCACCTCGAGTACGCGGCGTTCGTCGCCGCCATCTGCGCCTCGAGCCTGCGGCTCTGCCGCCTGTCAGACACGCCCCGCATCCTGCGCCGCTATCCGTGCGCAGACAACGACTGCTTGCCCGCGTTTACGCGACTCTTCCAGGATGCCTTTGGCGACTGCAGCACCGCTCGTACAGCGCGGCACCTCTCGGCGGGGCTCCGTGCGTTCGCCTACGAGTGGCGATGGCGCTCCTCCTGCGCATCCACCGCCGCCTTCTTCCCGCCTTCATGGGGCGCGTACCACACGTCCGACATGCCCTTTGTCTTCGAGCCGTTTGCCAACTGCAGCCGCACGCCGGAAGGCGAGGCGCTCTCCTCGGCGTGGGGCAGCTTTCTGAGCGGGCTGCTCACCCGCGGCTTGCCCGACCATCGCTGGCCTCCTGTCGCAACCTATCAGCCGAAGCGCATGGTGCTCGGCAATTATGGGGAGCCAGCGGCAGAGCCTTGGCTCTCCGTTGCCAATGCGCCCACCGCCGACTGCGGCTTCTGGGACGAGCTGAGCTGGACGTTATGACCCGCCATGGCTTCACGATACTGAGTAGTAGTAGTAGTAGTTACGTCGTGACTCGTTCGATGGGAGAGCTGAATCTCAATTCTCGTGGAGCGGCTGGGTCGTGCTCTCATATCAATGGTTCCATGTGAAAGCATGTGCGCACCCCACCGAGATGGGTGCGTGTAGACCGTGGTTGGTGGTAGCTGGGAGGTGGGAGCACTGGTTGGAGGAAGTAGGCTGGCGTTTTTGCCTTTGAAAACTGAACTCAGTTTTTTTTAAGGCACTAAGCAGAGCCGACGCGCCCCGCGCCCCGCCCGCCCCGCCGCCCGCCACGTCCACGCCCCCCTCTCCCCCCTCGCCCACCGACAGCCGCCGTGGCGCCTGCAGGCTGAGCCTGGGGCGCGGGGCGCGAGGGCGGCTGGTGGACAAACGTCGTCTGCGCCGCCACAAGCCGCCCAGTTGCGGCGATGGGCAGCGCCGGCTGGCGGCAGGCCGGGCAGTTGCTGTCGCGCTCCAGCACGCGCGGCGCACATGTCTCGCAGTACAGTGCGTGGCCGCACGCGAAACGAACCGAGCGCGGCGCGTCCCAGCAAAGGTCACACTGGCGCTCCTCGGCCCCAGCCGTCTCCTCCGCCTCCCCCGCCGCTTCGGCTAGCGCCTCCAGCCGCGGCAGCGCCTCTGCGAGCGGCATCCGCCTCTTCTTCCTCACGAGAGCCAGCCCGACCACCAGCCGCGCCAGCTCCTCGGCCTGCGCCGCCGACCAGCCCGCGTCGGCCGCCGCGATCGATCCCTCCGCCGTGTCGGGCTCCTCCAGCGCATCGTCGCACTCGTCGAGGAGGCCGACGGCGCCGCGGCCGGTCAGGCTGACTAGCAGCGTGATGCCGAGCGCATAGCCGTCGGTCAGCGCTGACGCCTGCCCGCTCTGCGAAATGATCGGGTCCATGTACCCAAGCTTGCCGAAGAGGCGCTGCGTCGACAGGTGCGAGACCTGTCCATTGCTGCCGGCCGTCGCCTCTGCCGCGCGCGCGAGGCCCACGTCGGCGAGGTAGCCGTTGCCGCGCTCGTCGAGCAGGATGTTGCCCGCCGAGACGTCCCGGTGCAGGATCATAGGAGAGAGCGTGTGCAGGTGGTGCAGCGCGCTCGCTGCGTCGCGCAGCACGCGGAGCCGTGCGGCGGAGGAGAGCGGCGGAGGCGGCGTCTCGAAGCCGAGCATGCGGAGCCGCTGCAGCGCGGCTGGCGTGCGGTAGAGGCGGTCCTCGAGGCTGCCGCCGCGGCAGAGGGGGTAGACGAGGCACGCTCTTGCCGGCGCCAAGCAGACGCCGAGGAGAGGGAGGAGGGACGGGTGGCACGCCGCGCTGAGCGTGCGCACCTCGCTCTGCAGCTCGGCGAGGCCTTGGGCGCCGACACCGACCATCGCCGTCTTGACGGCGAACCCGCAAGCGACGCGCGGAATCGACGGCAACGCGTCGCAGCGGTAGACACGCCCGAAGCCTCCCTCGCCCACCTTGCGCGCCTCGGCAAAGCCGTCGGTCGCCGCGATGAGCTCGTCGAGAGGGACGGCGGCGGGCGGCGCGGCGGCGGCGGCGAGAGCGGCGACACTCGCCGAAGCCGCCGAAGCCGCCGCTGCTGCCGCTGCCTCCGCTGCCGCCGCCTCTTGAGCCTCCGCCGCCGCCACGGCCGCTACTGCCGCCTCTACAGCCGCCGCCTCCGCCGCCGCCTCCGCCGCCTCCGCCTCCGCCCTCATCCTCGCCTCCTCCCTCTCCCTTGCCGCCTCCTCCCTCGCCCTCGCCTCTGCCTCCTCCCTTGAATTCTTATTATACCGGCTTTTTCCCACGTATCTCGTCGCCTGATATCGTCCCCGTCGCCTTGATTACCGTCCTCCACACGTTCTCTCCTTCTCCCTTCCGCGCTGCGTGCCCGCCGTCCAGCCACTTTCGTACCCACCGTCCAATTAGCAATTTTCTCCTTGCTTCGCCTGTTCGCCTCTTGATACAGCCTCCTGGCTCGGATCTCCGGCGCCTGCCCCTCCTCCTCATGCATGTACAGTACATGGATGCATGCCCTGTTCGTCACGTGTCGTGCTAGATCCATCTCATATGCGCTCGTTAGACGTTACCCTGCTTCGCAGGTGTGCCTTTGCCGCCGCGTCCGCCATGGAATTGGGCGCGTTGCCCGCGTGCATGTTCCACGTGAGTCACGTAAACAATAAAATAGTTCTCCGTGTTGTATGCTTGTATCTGTTCAACAGTGTTGACTTCTCAGATTGCTGCAAGCCGCCTGCACAGCAGCGAGATCCTGAATAACATATTGCAATAGAGTACTATGTGGCAGGTGTGTGCGCTGTGTGCGAGAGAGAGTTCCGAGGACCGAACACCGACCTCGATCCCTGGTCCATGCGAACGCCGTACAGTTGTAACCCCTCCTTGTCCGACAGGAGGGGAGGGGGGGGGGGGGGGGTTGTTGCGCGTCGCACGCGGCGCACGACGCCGCCCGCCGGCAGCGCGAGAGAGCGGGACCAAGTCAACCCCACCGCAGTGGGGCGACAGCGGCAGCGCGAGCGAGATCAGCCGCCGGCGCGAGCAGAGCGCAGAGGGCGGCCAAGGCCAGACAGCGAGAGGTGGGGTGTTCGAGGCCGGCGGCGGTGGAGGAGGGGGGGGGCTCGGCGCCGCGCGCGCGGTCACTCGTCGGTGACGCACCCCTTCTGCGCCGACGAGACGGTCTTGATGTAGCGGTACATTGTGCCTCGCGTGTACTTGTACGGCGGCGCCTCCCACGCGCCGCGCCGCGCCGCCAGCTCGGCCTCAGAGAGGTCGACCTATGGCCGAGGTGCGGCCGAGGTGCGGCCGAGGTGCGGCCGAGGTGCGGCCGAGGTGCGGCCGAGGTGCGGCCGAGGTGCGGCCGAGGTGCGGCCGAAGCTTCTCGCGCAATCTCTCGCCATCTCTCGCAATCTCTCGCCATCTCTCGCAATCTCTCGCCATCTCTCGCAATCTCTCGCCATCTCTCGCAATCTCTCGCCATCTCTCGCAATCTCTCGCCATCTCTCGCCATCTCTCGCAATCTCTCGCAATCTCTCGCCATCTCTCGCAATCTCTCGCCATCTCTCGCAATCTCTCGCCATCTCGCGCAATCTCTCGCCATCTCTCGCAATCTCTCGCCATCTCTCGCCATCTCTCGCAATCTCTCGCAATCTCTCGCCATCTCTCGCAATCTCTCGCCATCTCTCGCAATCTCTCGCCATCTCGCGCAATCTCTCGCCATCTCTCGCAATCTCTCGCCATCTCGCGCCTTGATCTCGAGCGTCTCGGCGTCGATGGTGACAAGGTCCCCGTCCCTCACCTGTGAACAGCGTCTCTCTTCACACCTCCGGCTGTGAACGGGTGGGGCCACCGTCTCCCCGTCCCTCACCAGCGCGATCGGCCCCCCCACCTGCGCCTCGGGCGCGACGTGCCCCACGCAGAAGCCGTGCGAGCCGCCCGAGAAGCGGCCGTCGGTGATGAGTGCGACTGGGGCAGGGGAGGGTGGGTTCGGGTACCGTCGGGGCAGGGGAGGGTGGGTTCGGGTACCGTGGGGGTAGGGGGAGGGTGGGTCCGGGTACCGTGGGGTAGGGGAGGGTGGGTCCGGGTGCCGTGGGGTAGGGGAGGGTGGGTTCGGGTACCGTGGGGGTAGGGGGAGGGTGGGTCCGGGTACCGTGGGGTAGGGGAGGGTGGGTTCGGGTACCGTGGGGTAGGGGAGGGTGGGTCCGGGTACCGTCGTGCCCGAGGCCGGCGCCCATGACGAGCGAGGTCGGGGAGAGCATCTCCTTCATGCCCGGCCCGCCCTTTGGCCCCTCGTACCGGATCACGATCACCGCCCCCTTGAGCGCCTGCGGGTCCTGCACCACCGCAGCCATCATCTCCTCCTCCGCGTCGAAGCAGCGCGCCGGCCCGCTGAACCGGACCCCCTCCTTGCCCGTGATCTTCCCCACGGCGCCCTCGGGCGCCAGGTTGCCCTCGAGAATGGCGATGTGCCCCGTCGCCTTGACGAGATCACCCGAGATCACCCGAGACCACCCGAGATCACCCGAGCTGACCCGAGATGGCCCAAGATCACCCGAGCTGACCCGAGCTGACCCGAGATGGCCCGAGATGTCCTCGAGATTGCGATGTGCCCCGTCGCCTTGACAGGCTTCGAGACGGGGTAGATGACGTCCTGCCCCTCCGCCTACAGGAAGGTTCCAGGAAAGGTCCAGGAAAGGTCCAGGAAGAGGGTAGATGACGTCCTGCCCCTCCGCCAGCGGAGGGAGGTCGGCGATGTTCTCGGCGATGGTCTTGCCGGTGACAGTCATGCAATCGCCGTGCAGCAAGCCCTCCTGCAGGAGATGTGCTCGAGCCATTCTCAACCATGAATCATGGACTGTTCATCAGGCAGCAGGCCCTCTCATTCTCAACCATGAATCGTGGACTGTTCATCAGGCAGCAGGCCCTCTCATTCTCAAGCATGAATGATTCACTGTCAATCAGGCAGGGCAGGCCCTCTCATTCTCAAGCATGAATGATTCACTGCTCATCAGGCAGGGCAGGCCCTCCTGCAGCATGTACTTTAGCACGGCGGGCGTGCCTCCGACGGCGTGCAAGTCCTCCATCACGTACTTGCCACTCGGCTTGAGGTTCGCCAAGAAGGGCGTCTCCGCCGCGATCCGGCGGAAGTCGTGCAGCGTGAGGTCGACGCCTAATTAATTAAGTAAGCAAGTGATTACGTACCAGTTGCTCATTCGGAAGTCGTGCAGCGTGAGGTCGACGCCTAATTAATTAAGTAAGCAAGTAATTACGTACCAGTTGCTCATTCGGAAGTCGTGCAGCGTGAGGTCGACGCCGGCAGCACGCGCCATCGCGATGAGGTGGATGGTCGCCTGGTCCACAGCCAGTCGTCGTTAATTAAGAATGGCTTTCGGCGCGCCATCGCGCTGGGGTGGAATGTCGCGTTTGTCGACCCGCCCGTCACCATCACCAGCCGGACGGCGTTCTCGAAGGCGTGCTTCGTCATGATATCGCGCGGCTTGAGGCCGACGGCGATGCAGTGCTGCAGCGCCTCCACCGCCCTCCGCACCTCGGACACCTGCAGGGTGATCTCGGGTGATCTCGGGTCCCCTCGGGTCCCCTCGGGTCCCCTCGGGTCCCCTCGGGTCATCTCGGGTGATCTAGGGTGATCTCGGGCGATCTCGGGTAATCTCGGGTCACCTCGGTTGACCTCTTCTGTCACACAACCTTCTCGGGGTGCAGCCATGACCTCGATCTCGGCTTCATCTCGGCCAATCTCCACTAATCTCGCGCGCACCTTCTCCGGGTGCAGCCAATCTCGGCTAATCTGGGCCAATCTGGGCTGATCTCGACTCATCTCGACTCATCTCGCGCGCACCTTCTCCGGGTGCAGCCCGCCCTTCCCCCCGTTGGCAGCCGGCTCCCAGGCAGGGATCGAGGACGAGTACGGCACAGACATGCCTAGGGTTCGGGTAGCGTGGGGGGTAGGGGATGGGTTCGGGTACCGTGGCGGGTAGGGGAGGCTCGCGGCGTCGGGACACACCCAGCGTCTCGATCGCCGACGCCATGGTGTTGGCCGTATACATCCCGCCGCACGCGCCCGGGCCAGGGCAGGCGTGCCGCACGACGTCGAGCCTGTTCATGCATCACTCGCAACAGTTGGCCACCAGTCAGCAATGGGGCAGGCGTGCCGCACGACGCCGAGCCGAGTTTCGTCGTCGATCTTCTCCGTCACAAACTCGCCGTACGCCTGGACGGTCGAGCTGATGTCATTATTGTTAATGACTTATTAATTAATAATCACGCCTGGAAGGCCGAGATGATGTCATTATTGTTAATGACTTATTAATTAATAATCACGCCTGGAAGGCCGAGATGATGTCGAGCGAATACTTAGATCGTTAAATAACTAGACAATTGAACAATTAAATCACGCCTGGAAGGCCGAGATGATGTCGAGCTTCTCGTCCTTGTCTGGCCGGCAGCCCGCGCGGATGGTGCCTCCGTAGACCATCACCGAGGGCCGGTTGACTCTCGCCATCGCCATGATGCAGCCGGGCATGTTCTTGTCGCAGCCAGGGATCGAGAGGTTCGCATCGTAGAACTGCGCGCCCATCACCTGCAGCGGCGCGGCGCCAGGCTCTGGTCAGAGGCGGAGGGCTGCCGTCCATGCCGCCCGGCCAGTGTGGGGCGGAGGCGGCGCATGTCTGCGGTGCCCGCCTCGCGGAGGTGGCGAGGGCGAGGCGGGAGGCGGCGGCGGGCGGCGGTGGGCGGCGACGGCGGCGGCGGCGGCGGCGGCGGCGGCGGCGGCTGGCGGCGGCGGCGGCGGCGGCGGTGGTGGTGGCGGCGGCGGTGGCGGCGGCGGCAGGCAGGCAGAGGCTGAGAGGGCGGCTGGCGGAGCTGCGGACCGTCTCGATGCCGTCTGCGATCAGGTCTCGCGACTGGAGGGAGTATGCCATGCCGTCGGTGCCGTTGGAGATGCCGTCGGAGACGCCGATCGAGTTGAAGCGCAGGCCCACCATCCCGCTCCTCTCGCAGCTCTCCTTGGCGGCGCCGGCGATGTCGAGCAGGTGCATGTTGCACGGGTTGCCCTCGTACCACACCGAGGCGATGCCGACCTGCACCTTGTTCATGCCGCCCGGCACCTTGCCCACGTCGGTGGCGTACAGCTGCGCCTGCCCCGCTCCCTGCGACCGTCGCTGCGTGATCACGGCCGAGTACTTGTTTGGCCGATCAAGGCCGTGCTCTGCATTCGGCAGCACCGCCTCGTACGTGCCGCGGGCCGGACCCGACGCGGCTGGGTCAGCGTCGTCCGCGAGGGTGGAGAGGCCGCGTCGCGGCCGCGCGCTTGCTCGCGCGGCGAGCCGCGTCGACCGCCCCATCGTCGAGCGGAGCATGGCAGCAGCTCCGTCGCGTCGGAGCACTGAGCTCGTTGATGTCCAAAAAAGAATTTACACAACACAACTCTCTCTCACAGCAGACAGGCTCGACACAAAAAAGAACTTTACAAGCAAAAAAGAATTTAAACAAAACAATCTCGGTCACAGCAGACAGGCTCGACACAGGTGCGAACTGGCGCGTGCTAGAAAAAGAATGTTAGAAAGAACTCCTTCGCACAACACTGGGCACGGGACTGGCGCGCACTGGCACTAACACAGTCCCGTGCCCAGTGTTGTGCAAAAAAGAATTTTACGGCTCCCTAGCACAACACTGGGCACGGGACTGGCGCGCACTGGCACTAACACAGGTACACCACTGGGCACTGGAGCCGCCTAAGCGACTCCTGCGAGGACGGCGAGGCACTTAGCTCTCGCGATGAGTTTTATTTATGGGCCATGGCGTTAGCGGAATCGACCACCAGCCCCCAAAGATCGCTTTTCTCTGACACCAAAACGCACCCCACTATCGCTACTAGTGCCGGGGCAGCTAAATACATGGTCATTATGTGTCGAGACTCGGTCAGAGCCGGTGGAGCGACGGCGGCAGATGCACGCCCGATGGCGACCTCAAACGGCGCCGAGCGCCGCAGAGACGGCGCCGCGAGCCGCAGCCGGGTGTCTCGCGACCGCCGCCGCGAGGCCCGTGGCGATGGCGGCGCCAGCGCCGGCCTCTGCCGACGCCATGACCGCCCAGCGCTCGGAACATGCGGCGGCGGCGGCAGGCTCGAGCGTGATGACCGCGGAGGTGAGGCTGTGCACGCTCGCACGTCGTACAGCCGCCTGGAGAGGGCACGGATGAGGGCAGTCGGTGAGCGGTGGCGGCCGGGACGCGCTCTCGGGCCCTCCCGTGTCGCCCAGCACGCCCAAAGTGCCGATCCGCTCGGCGGGCGCAATGCGATCCGCATTGGGATCAGGAAAAGGAGGGGTGGGCAAAGGCGCACGCACCTCCGCTTCGACTTGCCCGCCGAGAACATCCGCTTCCGTCAATAATGCAGCGGTCGCCACGGATAATGGGGCGCCCGCTGTGACGTCAGGTCTGCTGGACGACGCCTGTCGAGGCGATGTGCGAACGGTCAGCCGGGGCGGCCCACGGGCGCGCGGTGAGAGGGCGGGCTTGCGCGCACGACTGGCCGCGGCGGTGCTCCCGGCGGCGCGCGCGGCGGTTTGGGCATCGCGTTCGTATAGGGCCGGGCGCAGGCCGGGGCGCGCAGGGGGTGAGCGGAGAGGGCCGTTTGGCAAGTCAAATGCCAGCTGGGTTTGGGGAGTTGGCTGAGTCCGGGACTCTCCCCTGAAGGGTACCAGCGGCCAAAGGGGTCGATTTCTCGACCTCCCGAATTCTCCGGGTAAGGGCGGTCCCCGGCATTATTTAGGGTGCTAATCACGAATCCAAGGCCAGAAACACGCCGCAAGATCATCCTACAGGTGTACTCGGTAACTCCATGGCCCATATTATTTCGCAGCGCACAGCGCAACCGCAAGCGCTGGTCCTGCTCCTGGCCTCTGGACTCTACTTTTACCATATCGAGGTTCGCCCTGCCCTTCTAAAGTACGCGACACCCGATTTACACCTTCTATGTATCAACAAACCTGTAGCGCGCTGAGCCCCCGCTGTGCGGTGTGCGCTGACGGCCGTGGCGTGTGCGCGCGCGGTGTGCTGTGCAGCGTGAAGGTCGTCCGCTCAGACGATCTGGCGGTCCTGCGTCGCTGACGCTTCCACAACGTCGTCGTCGTTCGACGGCTCCGTTTGTGTAGAGGGGCCGCGGATCGCTAGAGCGAGCGCGGTGGCGCGGCGCACGCGCGACTGAGCCGTCTGCTTGGTCGCGCCGAGCGCCTGTGCGAGGAGGGCGAGCGACACCTGCCGGTGCGGGCCCGAGTGGCAACCGACGGCGAGGTCGTAGTACAGCCCATCGGCAATCAGGTCGCGCGGCGTCACCTCGAAAAAGTGCCCAAAGATGCAGCCGCCGCAGAGAGCGTCGTTCTCGTGCGCCATGACGATCGGCAGCCTGGCGCGGCGCGCGGCGCGCACCTGCTCTGCGAGCGCATCGCCGCCATCGCCGGCCCACGTCGACCTGTTCAGGTAAAGCAGCATGTGCGTCGCCTCGTCGCCGCCGCCGCTGTCGCTCGAGCGAGGCAGCGAGGAGAGGCGCGAGGGCGTTGCGTCGGTGATCGAGACGCCGCCCGCCACGGCCGCCGCGACCGCATCGGCGAGATCTCGCGCCCCGGCGTTCAAAGTCGAGGCCCAGAGAACCACCGGCTTGGGGAAGGCGAGGTCGTCGGCTCGGACCTCGCCCGGGATGCACAGGGGCAGCTCGTCCTCGCCCGCGAACTTTGGCGTCTTCAGCAGCAGCGCCTCGGCGATGACCTTGAGCGAGACGTGCTGGAAGGCCTCGATCCGATGCCACACCGCCATCGGCCAGCCGGCGTCAAAGATGGCGGCCCGCAGCTCCTCGGGGCACTCGGATCGCAGCTCGGCGAGCGTGCCTCCGCCCTTGTCCGGGTCTGCCTCGTGGACGAGCACGAGCGGCTTGCCCATCTCCAGCGCGGCGCGGACCTCGCGCAGGCAGTTCGTCGAGCGCAGGTAGCCCCGCGACAGGAAGCAGAGCACGACCTGCGAGCGACGAATGCACGCCTCCAGCTCTCCGATGTTCTTGAGGTCGTCGACGTCGAGGAAGATCTCGCAGCCGGGCAGGAACTGCTGCAGCTCGTTCTTGATGACGGCGACGGCGTCCTGCAAGGGAGGGAGGCAGGTCAGAGGTACCTTCTCCGCACATGCAAAGCCGTGGGGGCAAGGGGGCGGCAAACCTGCCCCGTGCTCCAGACGTGGCTAAGGAAGAGGTGCCACTCCTGGCCGTCGGCGAGGGTGATGCCGTCGCGCATCGGCTCGCGCATCGAAGAGGCGAGCCGCATGGTCTTCGCCCTCGAGGCGCTGACCGCCAATACAACGATGACGGCTAGCGAGATAGCGAGCATGACCGCGGTGAGGACGACGACGAAGGTGGTGGCGCTGCGCGAGGTCTTGTAGCCAACGAGGGTGTAGCACATGTCGTGCATAGTGGTGTCGCACAGCTGCGGCAGCGGGGAGCGGGTTGTGTGAGGTTGCGCGGACGAGGGAGAGCCGGACGGCGAGGAAGCGCCAGCAGGGGCGCGGACCTGGATGACCACTCCCGACGCGAAGCAGCATGTGAGGAGCAGGTTGGCGATGCACGCGAGGCAGAGGTCGTCGGAGCGCCGGTAAGGTCGGGCGAGCGCGAGAAGAGCGAGAAACATGGCCGAGACGATGGCGGCGACCACGGTGCGCAGCAGCTTGCGGGAGCCGTAATCCTGGTCGATGAAGAGGACCATCGAGGTGAGGAAGATCTTACGGACCAGGTCGAGCACCTCCCAGAAGAGGAAGCGGCCAGAGTAGTCCCGCCACAGGAAGCTCGTTGCGCGAGAGAGCGGCGTTGCGCGCTGCGCAGCCACGGGCTTGCGGACGCGGAGCAGCAGCGCCAAGAAGCCGAGCGGCACGAGGACGGGCCAGAGGGCGAAGAAGGCCCAAAAGTACGGTGCGAGTCCGCTCGCCTCGTCTTCCCACGTAGGGCCGGCGTCGCACGTGAGCGACGGGTCGGCGAACAGGAAGCTGATGCGCTGGCCTGTCGCGTCGTCGTAGCGAAAGGACTCGCACAGCCTCGCGCTGAAGATGGAGCGCGAGACGGAGGGAAGCACCAGGTAGAAGATGAAGATCGCCCAGTAAAGGAGGCGGCCAAGCAGCTGGCGGTCGAATGCCTGCTTGTTGTTGAGGACCGCCGCCGCCACCACAATGGCGAGCGACACGAAGGCGACGGCGGCGTACGGCCAGGTGCCCGCGACAAGCAGCCGCGTGCTCATGGCTCCGATGCAGCTGCCGGGGATGGCGACGCCAAACATGTCCAGGCTGAACAGCTTGAGCACGTCGAGCCAGCGCGTAAAGTGCTCGTCGAGGCGGACGCCGTAGACGAGGCCGAGGATGCTGACGACCTGGTAGAAGCTGACGACGACCTTGAACTTGGGCTGCAGGCCGACCGCGGACTCGATGCGGGCGGCCCGCCTTCGGAGGCGGCGGGAGAAGGGGAGGCGACGGAGCCCAGCATAGGCGGCGGCGAGCACAGCGATGACGATGACAAAGCCGACAAAGATGCCGGCGGAGCGAGCCGTCGAGGGGCAGGCGACGCAGCGCCCCTCGGCAGAGCTAAAGTAGTCCGAGTCCGCGACGCAGACCTCGCAGAGCGGGCCGGTGTGGCCGGCGGCGCAGTATAGGTCGCCATCTCCGTCGGCGAGGCGGCGGGAGGGCTGGCCGGAGCCACCAGAGCACGTCTCTGAGTCACAGCGGTGGAGCTCCGAGGTGGCGTCGGAGGCGCGCCAGAAGCCGGCGTCCACGCCGAGGGACGCGAGAGTGGTGCCGGCGTTGCAGTTGGCGTGAAGCGGGCACGACTTGCAATGGTCGGTCGGGTTCTCAAAGACGTCGTCTGGATCGGCGCTCGCGTCCTTCAAGTAGAAGCCCTCCTTGCAGATGGAGCAAGTGACGTCGCCGCTCTTGGAGCTGAGGGGGTGGGGGCAGAGAGTGCACTGCGAGAGGCCCTCGCTCGCCGCGTAGGTGTCCGCCTCGCACTCCTCGCAAGCGGTGCCGGAGGCTGCGTAGTGGCCGATAGGGCAGAGCTCGCAAGCGGGCATGTTGGCCGAAGGGGCGACGCTACCCGGAGCGCACGGCGTCTGCTGCGTCGAGCCCGTGGTGGCGAAGTGGCCCGGCGAGGCGTCGGTGCACTCGCTCGCAGCGGTGAGGTTGGTGGCGCGCGAGTAGCTGCCAGCCTCGCACGGCAGCGCCGCCGCCGCGCCAGCAGCGCAGTAGCCGCCCGCCTCGCACGGCTTGCACGCCGTCTGCGCCTCCGCGTCCTGGTACGTGCCGCCGGAACAGGGCGTGCACTCGCCCTGCCTGGTCTCGTTCGTGTACGACCCCTTGGCGCACGCCGTCTGCTGCGTGGAGCCGGTGGTGGCGAAGTGGCCCGGCGAGGCGTCGGTGCACTCGCCCGCGGCGGCGAGGTCGGTGGCGTTCGAGTACGACCCGGCGGGGCAGGGAAGTGGCACGCTCGTCCCCTCCGGGCAGACGTGGCCAGCATCGCAGGGCAGCGCCTCATAGGTCGCCTCTGTGGGGCACTGGGAGCGTGCGGGGCAGCGGCCGGCGCAGCTGCTGCTCGACTGCTCCTTTGGGTCGGCCGAGCCGAGGAGGCCGGCGGCACAGGCAAAAGGGAAGTCCTCATCGACGGGCAGCAGCGGCAGCTGGTAGAGGTTCACGCCGAGGAGGGAGGGGTCGTCCTCCCAGTTGCAGGGCTGCACGAAAGTCGCGGCCTGGCAGTACCACGGCTCGTTGACGTCGCATGCCGCCTGCTTGTCTTTATCGGTCTGCCTGCGGCAAGCCGCCCCCTTCTCGTCCGACGAAGGCTCGGTCGCATTGCTCTCCGTGAGCGCGCAATCGTCGCGGTGCTCGAGGCAGGCAGTTTGCTTGTCCTCCTCCCCCACAGGATAAGAGCACGCCTTCCGGTAGACCTCGCAGCGCGCGTTTGGCAGCCAGCGGCCGGCGGGGGCGGGGAGGGTGTAGGAGACCTCGCCAGCTAGAAGGAAGACGGAGCGGCCCTCTTGGGCCAAGCAGCCGCTGATGAGAGTGCCGTCACTCAGGGTGGTGCTCCCGCCCTCCGAGTAGAGGCCGCCGCCATGCTCTGTGGCGATGCAGTTGGAGATGGTTGAGCGGGCCAGGCTGGCTGAGCCCGAGCGCACGTACACTGCGCCGCCAAACGCGGCATTGCAGCCGGAGATGGTGGAGTCGGTCACGATGAGGTCGCTGTTACTCGTGTATGTAGCTCCGCCCCACTGCCGTTGCGAGGAGAGAGCGGGGTGAGGCTGCCGTGGCCCCTCTCTACCTCTCGCCCCGCTGCCGTGCGGTGCTGCAGGGCGGGCGGCTAGCTCTACGCGGCGCACTCGAGCAGAGCAGCCCGACACGGTCGAGCCGATTATCGAGACCGCGCCGCTGCCCTCCGCGTAGACGACGCCGCCGGACTGCGGTTGCGAGGAGAGAGCGGGGTGAGGCAGCCGTGGCCCTCTCCATCTCGCCCCGCTGCCGTGCGGCGCTGCAGGGCGGGCGGCCAGTTCTACGCTGCGCACCCTGCCAGCAGAGCAGCCCGACACGTTCGAGCTGGTTATCGAGACCGCGCCGCTGACCACCGAGTAGACGATGCCGCCGGTCTGCCGTTGCGAGGAGAGAGCGGAGTGAGGCGGCCGTGGCGCTCTCTATCACTCGACCCGCTGCCGTGCGGCGCTGGAGGGGTGCGGCTAGCTCTACGCGGCGCACCCTGCCAGCAGAGCAGCCCGACACGTTCGAGCTGGTTATCGAGACCGCACCGCTGCGAAACGCATTGACGACGCCGCCGACCTGCGGTTGCGAGGAGAGAGCGGGGTGAGGCAGCCGTGGGGCCCTCTCCACCTCTCGCCCCGCTGCCGTGCGGCGCTGCTGGGAGGCGGCTAGCTCTACGCGGCGCACTCGAGCAGAGCAGCCCGACACGGTCGATCTGGTTATCGAGACCGCACCGCTGCGAAACGCATTGACGACGCCGCCGACCTGCGGTTGCGAGGAGAGAGCGGGGTGAGGCAGCCGTGGTCCTCCTATCACTCGCCCCGCTGCCGTGCGGCGCTGCAGGGCGGCTAGCTCTACGCGGCGCACAGCGCCAGGAGCCGAGCAGTCCCTGACGGTCGAGTCGATGATCTCGACGTCGCCTGCGCCGTTTGCGTACACAACGCCGCCGCTGCCCGCCCTCCCGTTGACGAGGGTCAGCCCCCGCACGGTGAGGCTGCAGCCGCCCCGCAATTTAAAGAGCCTGGTCTCTCCCTTGCCGTCGAGCGTCGCGCCCTCGCCGCTGCTCGCGACGGTCACTTTGATGGTGGAGGTGCAGCTGATCTGGCTGCTCAGCTTGAACTCTGCACCGGGCGGCAGGTAGATGGAGACGTTGGCAGCAGTAACAGTAGCCTCCTCGATCAGGTTGCGGAGCTGGTCCTCGCTCTCCGCGGCGACATCGAAGCCGGGGGAGAGCGGCGGCAGCGGCGGCAGCGGGGGCGGTGTTGGCGGTGTTGGCGGTGGAGGCGGCGCTGATGGCGGTGAAGGCGGGCGGGTCGCCCAGCAGATCTGACGGCAGAGGGAGGAGGGCATCAGAGAGGAGACGGAAGGGGAGCGAGAGGCACCAAGGGCGCGCCTTCCAGCCAGACCTGACTACGTAGCCATCCGATCGCCACTTAATGACGCCGTCCTCCGCCACCGCACCACTCGGCCCCGAGGTGCCGCAGTACGTTATGCCGTTGACGGTGAGGTAGTCACAACCGCAGCTGCCGCATCGCTCCACATCAAAGGCGACCGTCTCCAGCTCGACCGGCGGCACGCCGCTGATGGTGCACTCCTCGCTGTTGCCGTAGCTGTTCGGGTAGTTTGGCGACGCGGCGCACCAGCCGCCGTTCGTGAGCGAGCACGGGCTGCTGACGTTGACGGGCGGTGCCGCTGGGGTGCCGCATACGCCCTGCAGGAGGAAGAGGATCACAATGCCAATAACTCGGAGAGCACGCGTGCTGGCGAGCAAGGGTACGGAGATCGCTGCGTGGCTGCGGCCCTCCACCCTCTTCTTCTTGACCAGCGGCTCAAGGCACGCCGCGAGGAGCAGCGCCAGCACGGCCGCACAAGAGCGGAGAAAGAGCGGCGAGGCCACATCGATCTCTGGGAGGGGCGTGGCGGTCGTGAAGCTCTCCTCGAGTGAGGGGTCGCCGATCTTGATCGCGCCGGAAGTCTCGTCAAATAAGGGGGCGAGCTCGGCGTAGGCGCCGATGTTGAGCTTGGAGGTAGTCGGGTAGGTCTTACCGATCCCGATCTCGATCTTGGAGTGGGCCGTGGCGGTCGTGTAGTCCGCCGTCGTGGAGCCCGGGTCAGGCTTGTTCTGTGAGAGGCGGGGGGGGGGCGGTGTTTGGGGGGGGGCGGTGGCGGCGGGTGAAGAGAAAAGAGAGAGAACTGAGTCGCACACCTTTGTGTCCGTCTCGTCGGCCTCGCCCTTGGAGTGGGCCGTGGCGGTCGTGCAGACCGTCTCGTTGCTCGTGGAGCCCGAGGCCTTGATCGGATCCTCGGAGACGCAGAGCTCGGTGAGCGGCTGCCGGTGCGGCGGCTCCGCGCACCACACAGGGGCGCCGCCGCTGCCGCACGTGAGACCGACGGAGTTGACGGCGGGGTCGGCGAGCGAAGCGTCGCCAGTCTTGGCCTCGCCAAAGGAGGCGAGCTCGGCGTCGGCCGCGGCGCCGATGGGCTTGACGGTGGTCGGGGCGGCGGCGCGCGAGGCGGCGCCGCTGAACTTGGAGAGGTTGAACGGGAAGGAGACGGCTGGATGGAAGGTGGCGACGTCCGGACAGGCACCTAACAGCGCCCACCCACCCCCGAGGACGTCTTGGTGGAGCAGGAGCCCCGCGGCCTTGTTGGGTTTGCGCGAGGCAGACGCCGCGAGGGCGAGCGTCGGCGCGTCGGTCTCGAGCTTGATGCTGAAGTCGGTGCGGTTGCGCGTGTCGGTGAGTGCCCCCCCGCGCCGCGGACGGGGGCGAGAGGCGGCGGTTGAGGGCGTCGCGAGAAGAGCGAGGGCGAGCATGGCGGCGTGCCGCAGATGTAGGCGGAGACAGATGCACCCCCCGAAAAGAAAAACCTCTCCCTCGTTTGCAGGTCGTTTGGCATCCCTGTGTGGTGGCATCCGCACGAAATGGCAGAAAAAAAACGCGAGAATGATGTTCTTCAGGGCGGCTCGCACAGTAGTGTGTGTACGTTGGACGAGGTGTGGTGTGGACGCGAGAATACTTAGCTCCGCCGTTCATGGAGGTAACCGATGCGAGTGCGCGGCGCATCCCCGGCGGCTCGACGGTGGCAGGCCCCCGGGGGGGGGGCGCTTGCGCGCCACCGGATCCCAGCGGCCATTGCGGCGCATCCCAGCGGCCATTGTGGTCGTTCAGGGCGGCTCGCACAGCTAGTGTGCGTACGTTGGTGTGGTGTGGACGCGAGAATACTCTTTTGAAAAAGGCCGCGCTGATCTTCTGGAGAGCTTGACAGCTGCAGCCGCGATGGCAGAGTCGGCCGCGGCTCGAGCCAGCAGTTTTTGGCTGCGGCAGATTAATGGATGGTTTCACCCGGTGGGAGGGGAGCTGATCCCACTCGTAACCAACTCTCAGGGGCAGTAGGTGGGCGAGCTTCAAGCGCGCTCATCTCGATCGACAAGGCGTCGCTACGCGCGGTCTTCCGCGGGGGGAGCTTCGTCGACGGGTGTGGGACCGGTCCGCGGCGCAGCCAGTGCTGCGGCGATGCCTCCGGCTGCTGCAGCGAGTGGCTTGCTGCTCGCTGCGATGGCGAAAAACTCGTCTCGTCACACGCCAAGGGCTTATGCTCTGTCGAGACGTGAGGCAGGAGGAGGGCGCATGCGTAACGACGCTGCTAGAGTGCCTCTCGGGGCCCAGAGATAAAACTTCTGATGCCATGCGTGACCTAGTAGTGTCCCCAGCTATGGGCGTGTCCACGTTGGAGCCAGGTGTGGTGTGGACGCGAGAATAGCTCCGCCGTTCATGGAGGCAACCGATGCGAGTCGACTGGTGTGTGTCGTCGTGGTTTCGTAACAAGAATACTCACTCAGACTCACCCACCCCGACCCACCCTGACCCGAGCAACCCCGCCCCGACCTCGCGCCCACCCCGCCCGCCGCCCCGCTCGCCGATGACGGGTTGTCGCCCCCGCTAACGCAGAATCTCCGCCAAGTTTTAGAGTCTTTTTCCCCCCCCCCCCCCACCCCTCCTCACCCCCACCCCCACCCTACATCTCCCTTTTTTGGCGTCTTCTTGTGCCTTTCATTCACCCCTCTTGGCTGTTTTATTTCGGTTTCTAAGCACAGAATATGCTCAGGGGCACCCCGGCAAGAGCGCCAAAGACCCATCTCCGAGTAGATGTGTCTGTTTTTGTTTATTTATTCGCTCTGAGCTCTGGACCCTTCGCTCTTCTCTCCCCTACACGCTACAGCGTACTAGTAGACGTACACAATCCTATCTCAACAAACCAACGCACACCAAACCCCGGTAGGCTGTGCGGTGTGCGGGCGCGTGCCGCCTCTTGTCTTGTTTTTTCTCGTCACTGAAGGTAGAGATGAAGCGCTCTCGCCGTTCAGTTGCCTCTGGGCCTGCAAACCAGCAGGCACCTCCGCCCCGTCCCGCTCACACCCTCGAGACGGCCCCGTCCGGCCCGAGCTTCGCGAGCTCCGCCTCCGCCGCCTCGGCTGCCTGGCGGCGCCTGGCCTGATCGCGCGCCCGAGCGACGCGCTCGCTCGCGAGCGCCGCCGAGCTCTCGCCGCCAAAGTGCTCCGCGTCTCGCCGGAGCGCCTTGATCATCTTGCCGGAGAGCCACTCGCGCGCGGCACCGACGGGGTTCTCGTCGCGCGGCGCCGCCCCTCCGGCCGCACCCTCTCCGGAGCTTCCGCCCGACGAGCGCAAGGTCACGTCGACGAAGCGGCCGACCAGGGAGCTCTTGAGGACGGCGCCTGTGCATGGGTCCACCGCTGGCGCCGCGAGGCAGACCACCCGTGGCCGCGGCGCCGACGACGAGGGGCCGTCGCCGCTCTCGCAAGCTGCGGCCTCGCGGGCTCGGACTCTCGCCTGCTGCACGTGCGCCATTGCCTCCGCCTTTCGAAACTCGCGGCTTGCCGTGTATGATGGCTCGGCCTGCAGCTTCGCCGTCGTCGGCAAATCGGTCTGCCGCTGGCCGCCCCCGCCGCGGCAGAGGCACATCACGCAGAAGCAGAGCGTGAGGAGAACCACAGCGGCGAGGATGCCAACGACAATTCCCAGCTCCGCGGCCTCGAGCTCGGACACGGTGGGGGCGTCCACTTCGAAGTGGTGCTCCGCCGCCTCTGGCTCAACGGCCCGCTCGAGACTGAGGCCGCTTGCAAATTCCACCGGTACAGCTGCTTTGCCCGCGTCTTCGCACTCGAGCCGCAAATAGACGTCGTCGTGCCCGAGCAGGCCACAGTTGTCGAGGTCGTGCCGCGTGCCGCATACCGAGGTGTTGCCGGCGGAGCGGCAGACGGCGCCGAAGGGCGTGTCGGCTCCGCAGGCGGCGACGGTCCACATCAGCCACGGCGACGGACACGATGGCGCCTCGACGAGGCAGGCGCCGCACTCGTTGCTCCAGCCGGTCGGGCAGGCGGAGCAGAGCAGCATGCTGAGACGGGTGGCAGAGTGGATGCTCAGCTGAGAACTGGCGCAGCAGCAAGCAAGGTGGGTGAACGCGGGCAGAGGATCCCGCAGCAAGGGCAAGGTGGGTGGAAGGATGGCGCTGTCCCGCTCATTTTTTTTATTTTTTTCCGATGGCCGCTGACGAGCGCGCGCGCTGCTCGTCAAAATGGCGGCGGTGGCGATTGCGGCGACGGTCGTTCAGTCGTACAGCGCTCAGGCGTCTGTTTATTAAATGCGTCTGTCGTCTGTCGTCTGTTGTCACATTTCGCACACGCGAGAGAGAGATTTTTAGAAGCCAACAAGAAATTCTCTTCACGCGAGAGAGATTTTTAGCAATATCACACGCGCGCGCCGGAAACATGGGCTCTATGGCTCAAAGCAAAGACATGGGCTCTATGGCTCAGACTGGACTCCTCTTGGTCCCTTCTGATGCCCTAGGCCACACCTGGGCCTTACCTGGGGTTCTAGGGGCCGGCCAGGGTTTGCCTCCCTAAAGGGGTAGGTAGGTAGGTAGAAAGGTGAAGAACAGCCAGGCTCGGACTGGACACCAACGCGGTATGGGTGGAAGGGGCCCGAAAGAAAGAAAGAAAGAATAAAGGGGCCCGAAGAACCTTAATAACACCCATTGTTTTCTTTTTGAGGAACGCGCGAAAAACCTCGCATGCCACCCACCTCGTCTCGACGAAGCCTCGGCGGCCTCGACGCCCAGAACTGCCGCGCGCGGCGCGCGGACGCGGGCCTCCTCCTGCGCCGGTCGAAGCGCGAGCTCGACCTGCGGCGGAGGCGCAGTGGCAGCGGCGGGCCGTCCTCGCTGCTCGAGGACCCGCGCGCTTTGGAGGGCGAGGAGGCGTCGCCACGATGGGACGAGATGGGGGTGGCGGAGCAGGTTGCGCAGTGCGCGATCCGCACCATCGACTACGTGCGCCACGGCCGGCACGAGGAGCGCGTCAGCGGCGGCGTAGCGGCGACCGAGAGGTGCGTCGGTTGCGTGCGGCGGCTGCGGCGGCTACTCACCGCGCCGGAGGAGGCGCCCATCGACGCGGTGATCCAGGCGGGTCTGGTCCCGGCGCTGGTTGAGCTCCTCGCCCTTCCTCCTCCAGAGTGCAGCTCTCACGCTCGGCGCGTCTCACTGCTACTCCAACCGCTTCCCTCTCTCTCTCCATCTCTCTCTCTCTCTCTCTCTCTCTCTCTCTCTCTCTCTCCATCTCTCTCTCTCTCTCTCTCTCTCTCTCTCTCT